TTGAAGGAGATGGCACATTGAGCACTAGGTAGAGACTGAAGAAGTTGCAAAATTGTAGCCATGCTAGAAAAAGTTCTAATAAAAAAGTACTCTTCCACAGTGTTGAAGCATCATCTTGCAAGATTTTGGATTCCACGGATACCAGGATGAGGTCCAATATGCCACTTTCACCTACAGTAGGTAAGCTCACTGGAAGTTGGGATGTAAGATTAGTATTTTTTTCTTCCAGTGTTTCATTGTGTTATTGCTTTCACTAAGTATTTTTGTAATCTAGGGGCTAGGGGGCTGCAAGATTAAACGGACTACTCTTTTTCATATAAGGCCACTTTAAATAACAACTATTACCACCTATTCTTGCTAGAGATGGGGAATATTCTAAAAAGTGTGATCATTTGTGGTTCGGCTGAAAACTTTTTAAAATTTGCTAATTTACGAAATTAGGAGTGGTACTAAAATAGATGGGTGGGGTTGGTGGCAATGGCAGTCAAGCGAAGGATGTCCAGGCAATAGCAAAAGAAGATATAAGAAACTGAAGCAGCCTTTGGTCTCTTAGTACCAAAGACTTTTAGGTATCCGAACCACAACATATAACACTGAAATTCTGATTCAGATTTGGTCACCTGAATCTGTGAAATTTAGACTGAATTCATCTGAAATTCAGGATCAACTCTAATTGGCGTAAGGCCAATGTGGTGCCAGTATTTAAAAAGGGGTCAAAATATTTACCAAGCAATTATAGACCTGTTACTTTAACTTCTATAGTTGGGAAGATACTGGAGAGTTTAATAAAAGACCACATAGATGAGTTCTTGCTGGAAAAAAATATTTTAAGCAACAGACATCATGGAATTATGAAAGACAGAAGTTGTCAAACAAATCTGATTTCTTTTTATGAGGAGGTGAGAAAAACCTTGGACAGAAGGGTGGCGGTGGACGTGGTATACTTGGACAGAGGGGTGGCGGTGGACGTGGTACACTTGGACAGAGGGGTGGCGGTGGACGTGGTATACTTAGACAGAGGGATGGCGGTGGACGTGGTATACTTGGATTTTGCAAAAGCGTTTGACACAGTTCCCCACACACGGCTAATGTGTAAGTCTATGGGCTTGGAAAAATCCGTATGTAAATGGATAGACAACTAGCCAAAAGATCGTATTCAGAGAGTAGTGGTTAATGATTCATACTCTGCATAGTCTAGGATTGTCAGTGGTGTACCCCAAGGTTCAGTGTTGGGACCCTTACTTTTTAATATTTTTTATAAACAATATAGGGTCTGGGTTTAAAAATTCCATTTCAGTCTTTGCAGATGACACCAAGCTGTGCAGTGGAATAACGTCCTTACAGGATGTCTCCAATTTACAAGCCGACCTCAATGCACTGTTTAATTGGGCAACTATGTGGCAAATGAGGTTTAATGTTGATAAATGTAAGGTTCTGCACTTGGGGGCTAAGAATATGCATGCATCATACATACTAGTGGGGGTACAACTGGGGGGTCAGTGGTGGAGAAGGATCTGGGAGTTATGGTAGATCACAAGCTTAATAATGGCATGCAATGCCAAGCTGCAGTTTCTAAAGCGAGCAAAATCCTCTCTTGTATTAAAAGAGGTATAGACTCCAGAGAGAGAGATATCATTTCCCCCGGTACAAATCATTAGTAAGACCTCATCTGGAATATGCAGTTCAGTTTTGGGCACCAATTCACAAAAAGAACATTGGGGAACTGGAGGAAGTACAGAGAAGGGCAACCAAACTGATAAGAGGCATTGAGGAGCTCAGCTATGAGGAAAGATTAGAGGAACTGAATTTATTCTCTCTTGAGAAGAGGAGATTAAGGGGGGATATGATCACCATGTATAATACATAAGGGTGGATATGATCAACATGTATAATACATAAGGGGGGATATGATCAACATGTATAAATAGATCATATAGTGAACTCGGTGTAGAGATATTCACCCTGAGGTCATCACAGAGGACAAGGGGGCACTCTTTACGTCTGGAGAAAAAGAAATTTAGTCTCCAAACACGGAAAGGTTTCTTCACAGTAAGAGCAGTGAAAATGTTAAATAGACTCCCTCAAGAGTTGGTTCTAGCCAGCTCAGTGGATTGCTTTAAAAAAGGCCTGGATTCTTTTTTGGATACACAGAATATAACTGGATGCTAACATTTATAGGTAAAGTTAATCCAGGGAATATCCGATTGCCTCTCGGGGGATCAGGAAGGAATTTTTCCCCTGCAGGAGCAGATTGGTTTATGCTTTGCTGGTTTTTTGCCTTCCTCTGGATCCACTGTGGGTGTAGGATTATAACTTTTTTTTTTAGTGGTTGAACTGGATGGACTTTTGTCTTTTTTCTGCCAGACTAACTATGTGTCTTTACTAATTGCTACAAATGGTCATAGCTCAGCAGGTGAAGGCAGGAAGGGGGGTAGCAGAGGCATCTTTGTATATGACAAGTCCACTTTAGGACAACAAATTTATAAAATCGGTACAAAACTCCTTTTCTGACATGTAATGTTTTCTGTTTACCATCTTTATGATAATGTTAATTGTTATCACAAAACAGAACTTTAACATAATTTAGCACTACATTTATATTACTGTCGCTGTGTTTTTCGTTATGGCTGTAATATCATTAATCTCCGCTTTATTGTAATTAGCACTTCACCGCAGGTAGATCTTTATTTTTTTTTTATAAACCTGCGCTAAGCTCTAACAGCAAGTAATGATATTATTATAATGATAATTGGGTTTTCTAAAACTCCTCTTGATAAACCCTCGGCGAGGGGTAATTTGATAATATGCTTTCTTAATTCTGTCACTCTGAACCAAAGAGGTGTAACTTAATTCGCAAACACAATATAAAGAACAGCATGCGATGGCTTCCCATGGGAAATTGGATTACCTCAATCTTTTGGCTGTTACAGGAAAAAGAAGATGCCCCCTTATGTTCATTTTTCTTGATGCTGTATTTCATTCAATGGTACATTTGTAAATTGAATAAATCTTCATTAAATTTTCTTTTTTTAAACGGTAATTATATTATGGTTATTTTTTTGTTTTAAGATTTCGAAAAAAAGTTTGCAAGTTGATCTTTATTGTCAATTTTTTTGTTCAACATATAGATTTGTAGACTAAAACTCATAAGTATGTATTTATCGATGATTCAACAAGAAATTTACCCAACATTTGCCTGAAATGCACCCACTTTTCAACCAAGCTTCAGTTTTTTTTTTTTCTTTTTCTTCCATTTACCACATTTCAAACAAGATTCACTCATCGAAAGTAGCATTAAACAAGATTCACTCATATGAAAATTTCATCAAATAGGACGATTTGTCCAACATCTGTTCTTTAATGGGATAGTGCTTTACTGCACTATTCATCATTTTTAACCCACTGGAACACAAGCTGGGGGTTCTTAGGATTCTGCAATATTGGGCTGACATGGTAACAACAAAGAGTCTGAAGACAAAGAACACAGACATTTCAGGAGTGCTTTGAAAGCTTGTGGCTTGTGGCTTGTGGCTACCAAGACTGGGTCTTGGTTAAAACCTCCACAAGATCAACAAAACAAACTGGGGAAAAGCAGAACACTTGGAGAAATATATTCACCCCGTACGTAACTGGAGTGTTGAAAAAAACTCAGAAGGATCTTTAACAAACATTCCATTGCTGTGCACTTCAACTCCAGCAATACACTGGGACAGAAGCTTGAACATTGATACTATCTGTATCCCACACTTTTAACATCTCTACCCAGGCAATTTTGACAACAATTGACACCTTTAGCCAGGTCAATCTAGGCACTATTAGCTATGCAGGCTTCCTGACACCAACAATGGGATAATCTAACTTGAACAGGGTGGTTTTACAATTTTCACACCTCCCCTCCTGTTCTTGGACAGTCAACTTCTACAAATTCCATGGTAATTGGATGAACGTGTCTTCAGGTGTTAATAGAAATGCAGGGGTTTGTTTCTGAGACTCACTGGTAGGGAAGAGCTTGCTTGATTAACTATGAAACATCTTCAACATTACAGAACAAGACCAATTGATAGTGACAAATTACTAATACATTTTCAAGGGTCTCCAGTAAATGCTTGTTGAATGCTCAATTGACCTTCCTAAGTTAGTATTAGACTTGGCAGCAGGCAAGTCTAATACTAACAGATGTGCCTGGGTGGGCTCAAACCATCAACTTTTCAGGTAACAGATGAACGCACTAACCGATTTAACCACACAGACAACACATTGATTGAGCCTTAACTGGCCCAAAGGAGACATGAACTATAAACTCAAGGTGCCTAAAGAGCTTCCCCATTGCACATTTATAGAGTTATGGGATTGCCTTCTATTTAAAGGGGGAGAGACGCGGGGTAAAAAACTCCAGCTTTGAGCCAGAAACCTAAGGATTGCTGTTTTGTCACTAGAGTCTCTCTCTACCAGCTAGACTATAAAAGAGAATACTGTGAGAACAGTAGCACATGACACCTTGCATGCAAATCCAGCATTGTACACTTTGCTTTCAGCCTTCTAGGTTGAGGTATTGGTTGATGCCACCTCTGCCTGAAAGGGCAAATACCTTGGCAGATGTTGTGTGGGAGGCTACGGCTTCAAGTTTTGAACAGTGTAAAATACCGTGGCACTTATAATATTTTACTTTCCTTCTTAGGCGTTAATGTAAATTGTTCAAGTGCCAGGCTGATTTAAAACAAAGTGTGACTTTCATTTTGACCACACTTGGCAACAACATAAAATGGATACAAAACTTAAACAAGTTACAGTTTAGTATATTAAAAACAAAAATAAAAGAAATAGAATCAATAGCTATAGAAATGTAGTAAGCTTTAGAAAAATATTGAGCTTCTTGCCAGGGGCGGACTGACCATTTGGAAACTCGGGCGCTGCCCGAGGGCCCGGGGTCAGTAGGGGGCCCCATGAGATGCCCCTGGTACCTTTTTCATCATTTTTTTTTTAGTTTGGGCAAGAACACAGGGACCCCATGATCACCTATTGCTCGGGGGCCCCATGAGTTGTCAGTCCGCCCCTGCTTCTTGCCTGCTCTCTTGCAAATTAGTAAAATGAGAGGTCTTTCTAGGCTAAGAAAAAAAAGATAACAGCTGTTGAAGTAGTAGTCAGCTTGCAGGCCTTAAGTAAACAAAATTTCTCTGTGTATCAGCTTTAGTGCGTATATGTACAGTATATATGTGTGTGTGTATGAATGTGTGTGTGTATGTCTGTCATGTAAGTCTGTTCTTATATACTTTTCAAAGAATCAATGAGGCCATCCCACTGTACAGTTATTTCCTAATTTAGTTTGAGCTAAGTGTGTATTAGCCATATTAGTAGGTGTTCTAAACATATGCATGGTTCTTAGCTGACGTTGTCAAGAAAATACTTTGATTGACAGAAACATAAAGAGAATTTGTCAGGAACATATTTATTTATTACAGGTACTTATATAGCGCCATCAATTTACGCAGCGCTTTACATATATATTGTAGTTTCACATCAGTCCCTAACCCTCACAGGGAGCACAGTCTAAGGTCCCTAACTCACATTCATACATACACATACTAGGGCCAATTTAGACAGGATCCTATTAACCTACCTGCATGTCTTTGGAGTGTGGGAGGAAATCAGAGTACCTGGAGGAAACCCACGCAGGCACAGAGAGAACATGCAAGCACCAGGCAGGTGATGCCGTGGTTGGGATTTGAACCGGCGACCCCTAGTACTGCCAGGTGGAAGTGCTATCCACTAATAGTACTAAATTAGACTGCTATGTGATCTTTCCATAGTAAAGGATCACATAACTATATTATTATTATTATTTTTATACAGGATTTATATAGCGCCAACAATTTGCACAGCGCTTTACAAAATGAAGGTAGACATTACAGTTACAATACAATTTGGTTCAAGAGGAAACAGAGGGCCCTGCTCCTTAGAGCTTACATTCTTCTTAAAATAGGTTCAACCTTCCATTAAGGACAGATAAAACATAAATGCATAGGCATAATCAACCATAATTGAGAATATACTATCACACACTATTCCTAACAAACTAATTAATTAGCTAACTATATTAAATAACTGACTAAATAACTGTATTATAGATTACAAATGATTCTCATGATAAAAGATATTTTCTCATCTCTTGTTTAAACGCTTTACTGCATTCCAGTGTATATTTTAGTCTGAGAAGCCATTGACCTAATGACATACTACAGAAGCTATGGCACACTTGAACACTTACTTAAAGAGCCCATTCACATGGTTAATTTGAAATTGACTTATGCCAAGTTTCAAAATACAGAATTTAAATAATCAGAATTATTATAGAACACAGACGTCTGTTATAAGCTAAATTAATTAATAATTCTTCAAACAGAGAGAAAACGGTTTGGAAACACCTACCGTATTTTGTTGTGATCCCCCAAAGTCACAGAAAAAATGGCAATGTACCGCCCTGACAGCAAGTAAGCACAGGAGTATTTGGAAGTGCATTGAGTTTAACAAGAACAATTGTGCCGAAAGCTAGCACTCAGTTGTCTGTAAAAGGCCACAAAGATGCAAAGTACCATAGCTCAGCTAGCTTAGTCGGTATGAGATGCTTAATCTCAGGCTCATGGGATCAAGCCCCATGTTGGGCATATGACATTGCAAGGCTTTGGCCCAGTGATAGGCCTTTGCAGAACTCAGTATCTCCAGTTCCTTCGTGTGAACTGCATTATCACACCTATACCATATCTACTGGCTTTCTCTCCACGAATGGGGAAATGTTTAGAGATGATATTCTTAGTGGTCAATTAGTACGACAGCAAATCAATATTCTACTGCAGGACTTGGTGGAGTCAGCTTCATGTGTGGCGTCAGCTGAACAGAGATAGCAGCACAGCCCTGCATTAGTGGTATAGTGGTGAGCATAGCTGCCTTCCAAGCAGTTGACCTAGGTTTGATTCCCAACCAATGCAATCTCCTCCTTTTTGGCCATGCTAAGTGGCCTTGACAAAAGACCCAAGTGCTCTAGGTCTTAGAAGAAAGCTTATAAGATGTCTTGGCTTAGTGACAACTGTGGAAATATACTCCAGCATCCCAAAAGGCTCTGACCTTATGCATTAACTTGATAAAGGGGTACAGCATTATCCAGGGACAAGTTTCAGTCATTTTAACCACTCATTCCTAAAGAATCAACTCTGTCACATACAACATTGCTAAGTATCTGGCTACAATCCTAACACCATTAACTGGCAAAATACTGCACCATTTTGAAGAATGCTAAAGAATTTGTTAAAAAGGTATGTAGATTGAAGTTAGAGCCAGAAGAAATAATAATGTCTCATAATGTCATATGTCTTTTCACTTGTATACACTTTGCAGAGGGTATTGAGACTGTGGGAAACATCTGAAATGAAGTAAAACTCTAGACAGCCAAAAAGAACTAAAGCCTAACCAAGTACATTCATTGCTGGTCACTTGTCTCAGCCCCACCTATTTCAAGTACCTGAATGACTTCTACAGATAGAAACCCTTGAATGCAGATTTGTCCCAAAATCTGCCAAATATTTATAAATTTTTTAATATATAACTGATATATTGTGGCGCCTATATGACTGAGTGTTCAAACAATAATGGATATTGTCCACAATAAGACGGAAAAAAAAAGGTTGACAGCTGCCCCTAAAAAGTGAAATACATATTAACAAACAAATAAGTGAATAGGTAGGTGCTACAACAACCGTGCATCAAAGGAAGAGAGCAAGTCAACTCAACATCTAACAAATACTTTTCCTATACCAAATAAAATGATATGAGAGCAAGTAGACGCTCAACAACATCTAACAAATAATATTCATATATCAGATATAATCAATGGTGAACACAATATAGTGATAGTGCCATGAAGATGTAATTCCATAAGCCAAAAAAGTTGTGGTATTCACCAAGTGCAAATAATATGTGAATTTCTCACTCACCAGAAAAAATTGACCCCAGTTAAGGTGGTCACATAACGCTTTGTTATGAGTATTGGAGACCAGCAATAGGATCTCCTGGGTTAGATCTCCCGGTCACAAGGGAATCACAGATAATTTCTCCCAGTTAGGTGGTCACAAGACCCCGGGTATGAATTCTAAATGTTCTAAGTGTAGTATTTATTGAAAATTGCATAGCGAATACATGTATAGCTTTACACTCACATATAAAGGCCCAAAAAACCGGCACCAGTTTGTACAGCCTGTGTAGGTATGTACTCCAACATGCCAGCGTGCGTTCCAAGCCTCGCTTTCCATAGGACGGATGTGACGTTACGGGAACCTGGAAGTGACGGGATCACTCATCTGGACATGGTTATCACCCAAGAGATTTGAAGAAATCAAATTATTATACAGGATTTATATAGCGCCAACAGTTTTCTCAGTGCTTTACAATATAACGGGAGACAATACAGCAACAATACAGTTCAATACAAGAGGGATTTGAGGGCCCTGCTCCTTGGAGCTTACAATCTAGGAGGGAGGGGCTAGTGGTACAAAAGGTAGTAGCTGTGGGGGATGGACTGGTTGGAAGAGTAGAAGATTCCAGTATTAGCTGAGAGCAGGATAGGCTTCCCTGAAGAGATAGGTTTTCAGAGATTGCCTAAAAGTGAGCAGAGTAGGTGATAGTCTGATAAATTGGGGTAGAGAGTTCCAGAGGATGGGGGAGGCTCTGGAGAAGTCCTGGACACGAGCATGGGAGGAGGAGACAAGGGAGCTAGAGAGTAGGAGGTCTTGTAAGGAGCGGAGAGGACGGTTTGGGTGATATTTAGAGACAAGATCGGTGATGTAATTTGGGGCAGAGTTATAAATGACTTTATACGTTATTGTTAGTGTTTTGAATTTTATCAGTTGGGCAATGCGAAGCCAGTGGAGGGATTGGCAGAGAGGGGTGGCAGATACAGAACGGATATGAAGATATATATTTGTCTCAGATTCTCCCTAAGGACCCCATTATTACCTACAGGAGAGGTAGAAACATCAAAGACATGCCATTTCATAGCCACTTGGATAAAATTCGGCAAACATCCAGGGAACAGACCTGGTTGCCAGATAGACCAAAGGGCAGCTGTAAATGTGGTCATTGTAATGCATGTGCATAGACTCCAATGGTTAAGGAATTTGTGAATCCAAAGAATGGTGGAGTCATTAAAATAGAGGTGGTCTATATGCAGGTGGTTTTTGAGGCAGTAATATATGCAATAAAATGTCCCTGTCTCAAGCTATATATAGGGTAAAATGATCTGCCCTTTTAGAGGAAGGGTCTTGGAGCATATAAATGATATTGCTTTAAAAAAAGATAAACCAATGGCAAGGAACGTCGTAGCTAAGCATGGGGGTCGGCCTGATATGTTAAATATTTGGATAATTGAACAAATCCAGTTGGGTCAAAGAAAGGGAGATATTGACAAGTGTCTAGTAAAACAGGAAGCAAGGTGGATTTTTTTATTAAATTCACAGGCACCCCATAGCCTGAATGAGGAGTTTACCTTTCTACCTTTTTCATGTGTGATTAGTAGCTGTGGGTGTGCGTCATGATGTCTAATGCTATATAATAGGTATGGATTGTTCATTGGTTGAGGAAGTTTCAAATATGCAATAATGGAACAATGCATTGTAGTAATGACAGTTGGTCTTCATTTTAGGCTCCCTATGGGTTATAAATACATTTATTGGTGGTACCCATTAGGTCTTGAGTGTCCTCATATAATAGCATTAAGCAACAGTGACCTTTATAGACAATGGTTGTGATAAGAGTATAGAATTCTTATTTTGTTTGTATAGCTTATGGCTTCATTAGAGTTATGTATTCCATGAATGGTTTATCCTACACTGCTCAAAAAATTTAAAGGAACACTTTTTAATCAGAGTATAGCATCAAGTCAATTAAACTCCTGGGATATTGATCTGGTCAGTTAAATAGCAGAGGGAGTTGTTCATCAGTATCAGCTGCTTTGGTGTTAATGAAATTAACAACAGGTGCACTAGATGGGCAACAATGAGATGACCCCAAAACAAAAATGGTTTTACAGGTGGAGGCCACTGTTTTTTCCCTACTCATCTCTTCTGACTCTTCTGACCATTTTGAGTTGCTGCAATGAAGTTCCAGCAAACCAGAGTAGCCTGCATAATTTTTTCACTTTGATTTTCCGGGTATCTTTGAATTCAGTCCTCTGTAGGTTAATCATTTTCATTTCCATCAAACGATGGGAAATTCTTACATTTCTAACACATTACCCAGTTCATATCAGTATAGATATCCAGCATGATATTTTTCCCCATTCAGATCTGATGTGTTTTTCAAAGTGTTCCTTTAATTTTTTTGAGCTGTGTATATTACAATTGACTCCTCTTCTACTAAATGAGTATACTGGTTGGAAGTAAATATGTTACTTGTTTATTATAACCGGTATGACAAACATGGTGAATGAACGGATGCTCCCCTTGCCCTATGGGCATTAATCATTGACAATTCCATATATACTTTGTGATAAAATCCTGAATACAGGTTTCTGAACATTTTGAGTGGGCTTTATTGGTTAGTAGGGATACGCACCAGCATACATTTGAATAGGAAAACATTTTTAAACATATTTGCAGTAGTTACCCAGAAGGGCTGACAGACTGATGCCTATAGTTTTCTTCTATCATTTTTTTCACAGAGAAGCATTTCAAGAATAAAGGGCATTGCTTTGTGTTCAATCCACAACACCGCTTTGCTGCTTCTTGCTGACATTTACTACTATACTAATATTTGTTTGCAGGAAGATTGCATATCTACAGATGAATTTGCATATACAGAATTGTAATTCAAGTATAGCATGACAATATAGTCATGGCCAAAAATATTGGCACCCCTGCATTTCTGTGAGATAATGCACCACTTCACCTAGAAAATTGTTGCAATTACAAATGTTTAGGCATTCTCATGTTTATTTCTTTTGTTTGTATTGGTATGACACAAAAAAGTGGAGAAACAAAAAGGCAAATCTGACACATTCTACACAAAACCAAAAAAATGTACTGGACAAAATTATTGGCACCCTCAATTTAATATTTGGTAGCACACCACTTGGAAAAAAATAACTGAACTCAATCGCTTCCTGTAACCATCAATGAGTTTCTTACACCTCTCTACTAGAATGTTGGACCTCCACCATCTTTGACTATAGAGACTGTATTATTTTCTTTAACCACCTCCTGCCCGCCATATAGTCCAATGACGGGCGCAAGGTGGTTCTCTTGTACTGATAGGCCGTCTTTTGACGGCCTTCCATTCTCACCGCGCATGCGTGACTCAGGGAACGCGCAGCGCGGCGATCGGCAGTGCGCTGTGTCCCTCGGACACAGCGGATCACCGATCCACGGAAAGAGCCGAAGATGTTGTCTCGGTCATGTGATCAGCTGTGTCCAATCACAGCTGATCACATGTAAACAGGGAAATGCCGGTTATCGGCATTTCTCTCCTCTCGGGCTGTCATGCTGACAGCTCGAGAGGAGAGCCAGTAATCGGCATTCCGCGGGACATGTACACTGATCATCAGGGCACTGATAATCAGTGTGCCCTGATGATCAGTGTGGCCCCAGAAGTGCCACCTGTCAGTGTCCATCAGTGCCAGCTGTCAGTGCTGAACAGTGCCAGTGCCACATCAATGCCACATATCAGTGCCTACCAGTGCACATCAATGCCATATATCAGTGCCCATCTGAGCTGCCCTTCAGTGTCACCCATCAGTGCCAGTCAGTGCCACCTATCAATGCCAATCAGTGCCACATATCAGTGCTGCCAATCAGTGCCACCTATCAGTGCCAGTCAGTGCCGCCTATCAGTGCAGTCAGTGCCACCTATCAGTGCCAGTCAGTGCCGCCTATCAGTGCTAGTCAGTGCCACCTAACAGTGCCAGTCAGTGCCGCCTATCAGTGCCATATATCAGTGCTGCCTTTCAGTGCCCATCAGTGATGCCTGTCAATGCCCATCAGTGCCACCTACCAGTGCCTCCTCATCAGTGCCCATCAGTGCCACCTATCAATGCCCATCAGTGCATCTTATCAGTGCCCATCACTACAGCCTCATTAGCGCACATCAGTGAAGGAGAAAAATCACTTATTTACAAAATTCTATAACAAAAACTAAGAAAAAACATTTTTTTTCAAAATGTTCAGTGGTTTTTGGTTTGTTTAAGAAAAAATAAAAAGCCCAGAGGTGATTAAATACCCCCAAAACAAAGCTCTATCTGTCACAAAAAAATGACAAAAATTTCATATGGGTACAGTGTTGCATGACCGCGCAATTGTCATTCAAAGTGTGACAGCGCTGAGAGCTGGAAATTGGCCTGGGCAGGAAGGGGGTATAAGTGCCCTGCAGGCAAGGGGTTAAAGGCCTCATTGCTTTTTCTGAAAACAGTAGAATGATGGGCTCTACCAAGAAGCTCCAATTTTGTTTTGTTTATCCACAGCACATTCTCCCAAAAGGATTTTGGCTTCCTCAGGTATGTTTTGGCAAACTCCAAATGGCTTTTTTTATTTTTTTGTGTCAGCAGTGGGGTCATTCTGGGTTTCCTACCATAGTGTCTTTTTTCATTCATATGGCGACGTATAGTGTGAGCTGATACAGTTGTTCCCTGTGCCTGAAGGTCAACTTGAATTTGTCTGGAAGTTGATCGAGGGTCTTTATCCGCCATTCGAACAATCTTGTTGCAGTCTTTGATCAATTTTTCTCTTTCGTCCATGTCCAGGTGGAAAAACTACAGTGCCATGGGCTGTAAACTTCTTGACAATGTTGTGCACAGTGGACACAGGAACATTAAGATCTCCAGAGATGGACTTGTAACCTTGAGATTGTCTATGCTTTTGTACAATTTTTGTTCTCAAATCATCAGACATTTCTTTGCTGATCTTTCTCTTCTCCATGCTCCAGAGACACACAACAGAAAGGTTGAGTAAATTTTTCACCATTTTAACTAATTTTAGGTGTGATTTTTATATTGTCAGCACCTGTTAATTGATACAGGTGAGATTATTTACAAATTACAGAAGCATCACAAACTTGGAATGCAATAATTTCTTACAATTTTAAGAAGGTGCCAATAATTTTGTCCAGTCCATTTTTGGGGTTTTGCGTGGAATGTGTCAGATTTGGTACAAACAATAGAAATAAACATGAAAATGCCTAAATATTTGTAATCGCAACAATTTTCTGGGCAAAGTGGTACATTATCTGACAGAAATAAGAAATGGAGGGCTGCCAATATTTTTGGCCATGACTGTATGTGTTATAGCTGAGATAATATGCTAAATCAGTTTGAAAACCAGATGCTTTGACATGGGGATTGGTCCAGTCTATGCAGAATCACATAATTTATGATTACTGGGATGCATCACTATTTTCAAATACATGGAGATGCTCAGGAGAACTAAAAAAGTAATGAATATGCACTACCCTCAATTTGGTGAGAAATAAAAAAAGATTTCTTCTTTTGAGTTTGATAGGAGACAAGAAAAGGCTGCTAGGACTGCATGCAGAGTGGGAAACCTCAAGAAGGGGTCAGTCTTCCAACTAATGGGAGCTGCAGCCCTCAAGTATTTTGATGATACAGCCAAGAGCCATAAATGTTGAGACACTGGCCAAAAGGAGGTGTCTGTCTCCCATGAAATTAAAACCACAGCACTTTAGGATGATATATAGTGGGTGGGTAACATATTGGCCTATGACAGCACAGTAAAGAGGGTAGGAGGCAAGGTCAAAGACTGTGAAGTGTAGGCTGGAACCTCAGCCCACCTTCTCCAGCAGTAACGATACTTCCCACTTGTCACAGTCAGGGGTCATGCTTGGAGACCAGTAGCTATAGCAGTAGAGAGGCTTCCACCGACCAGTAGGATAGCTATACAAGCAGGTCACCCTGGTGGATGACACGGCTCACCCGAGGTGTGGGGTGGAGATGGGTTTTTCTGTGTGTTAGTACCAGGTTGCGGTCCCCATGACCGCCCCACCAGGAGGTAAGCAAGCAGGGGTCCAGTAGCAGATATAGCAAGTAGGGATCAAACAGAAGCGTAGTCAGTAAACTGTCAGAATTTCTGTGAGAGGAATTATATTTTTATATTTTCTTCAGCTCAAATTATAGTTGTTTGTAAACTCAATAGGCCCCAAAAAATCTAGGGTTACTTTCAGGCAGGGGCGGACTGACCATTTGGAAACTCGGGCACTGCCCGAGGGCATGGGGTCAGTAGGGGGCCCCATTAGATACCCCTGGTACCTTTTTCATAGGCTTTTTTGAGTTTGGGCAAGGACACAGGGGCCCCATGATCCCCTATTGCCCGGGGGCCCCATGAGTTGTCAGTCCGCCCCTGCTTTCAGGTCTCAGTTCATGCAGGATACAGTCTCATTCCTAAATGAGATATTTAGTTCTTGCAAATTAAATGTGTACAGAATTGAGAGAAGCAAGGACACCTCCCACCTCCCATAAATGTAAACTGTGGAGACGTGTGTGTGACCAGGTAGACGTGTGGGCACAACAAATTACCAGACTAGTCATTTCATGACTCACCATTATTCAGCTCTGGGAAGGGTAAACAAGAGACAAACACCTCTCATTAAAGGGATCTCTATGGGAAGTTATACAGATGGATCTTGGAACTATTTATATGTTTAAAACTATCTATATAACTAAATTATTTTTCTGGACAAAAAAATATAAATATCATTGGCATATGTATAAGTATGGGATTTTAAATCATAACAAAATATCGCAAGGTATCTATAAAGGATTTTATCCTGACACAAGATCCCATTGCTAGAAAGGATTTCTGAATATTAACACAGGTTGTTATGTGTAATCTAATTATATATTTAGAATGTTGAAATTTATATTTTTTTGCAGAAATATTGTATGTGTGCTGCCATATCTCTAATCAATAAGTAGTTAAGCATGCAAATTACTAGGTTTATATGTAGGTATGGATATATGTATATCACGTATGTATATATATATATATATACATATATATACAGTACACAGATAGATAGATAGATAGATAGATAGATAGATAGATAGATAGATAGATAGATAGATATAGATAGATAGATATAGTCTTTCTGTCCTCTACTGTATGTGTATAAATAATATTTTAATCGGTATATATATATATATATATATAACTACAACTTTTGTCAGTTAAGGTTTTACATGAGAAATTAGGAATACCTAATCTACCCTCCAAGACATTTATACAGTTGTCACAAAATCCAGTTTTTTATAGTAAAAAAAATAATATTTTTCTATAACAAATAAGTTACTTGAGGAAACTCAAAATAGTCAGGACTTATGTTAGAGTGACACTCAGTGGCAAAACAGTGGTAATACAAAAACAAACATTGGGTGGAGTATGAGACAAATTCACCAATAAAAAGAAGGTAACGCCTTCCAGGCTACCTTATGGGCTGGTGTATTCAAATTTTATAAATGTATTTTGTGCCAATAGATAAAAGAGAAAGTCAGGTAGACAGAGGAGATCCGATTGCAGCCATCCATCTGATTGACAGGCACACTTCGCCCATCCGACTACACATAACCATCCAAGAGACTGCACATCTGATCACACTCAAAACACACAATTCCAGCCTGTCTAGATGCCATCTTTTGAGAGCTTTACTCCACTCATCAATCGGCAGCCACCTGTGGTTTACCTGATACTTGGAGGGTAATTATAATTTATATTCTGGTAATTCTGCTTGACTAAATTAATAAACTTATTGTAATTTTTATGATAACCTAATTGTCCTCCTCACGATAACATAACCACCCACATTTTTATATTTTAGGTTTAGTTTTGATATTATATACACACACATATATATATATATATATATATACATACATACATACATCTATACGTAATCTATTGCTATGGACAAATTTTGGAATGTTTATGCAAATTATTTTGGTGTCTATGTGCATCACAATCGAACTATTATATTATGTATTTGTATGTGATTATGGAAATAAAATTTATTTATCTAATAACTTGCAGTCCATATTAACCACTTGCCCTCCTGAGGATTCCCCCCCCCCCCTCCCTTCCTGACCAGGTCATATTTTGTGTTACAGCGCTTTGTCTTACTTTAACTGACGATTGTGCAGTCATGCAACGCTGCACCCAAATTAAAGTTTCCCACAAATTGAGCTTTCTTTCGGTGGTATTTGATCGCCTGTGTGGTTTCAATTTTTTTAACTGTGCAGGGAGTGTTTTACTAGGCCACGTGAGTGTGCTTCACTGTAAGCACACTGCTTTGGATGGCTGTGGTGTGCTGACAGGGAGGAGGACTGTTAGTAAACAAAACAGTCCTCCTCCCCATCAGAGATGCTCGGTAATCACTGGGCGCCAGTGGGGACCCGGTGATTGATAGCTGTAGCCGCGAATGGCGGCGCAGGTAGGGCGTGTGCACGGCTCACGTAAGCCCCCTACCCAGAAATGCAAAATCACGTACATATATACATGATTTTGCACACCCCTGCTGCCCTGTAGCAGTATATCTGCCATAGGGAGGCGAGAAAGCAGTTAACACAGATCTTGTAGGTGTTCTTAAAGGATTTTGTTTGGCTAAAAGATAACTCAGAATTATTAATTAAGTCAGTTAAATTATTTGTATATATTATTATATTTGGAGGTACCTTTAGCTGACTAAATTAATTGTCCAGGCATTTCCTGGCATAACAAAACAAGGCAAAGGTTAGTAACAAGTGTCGCAGATTGGGAGCAAGTGGAAACATGGTCATGGCACAAGCCAAAGGTCAGTAATGAGTGGTAGTAAAGACACAAATGGCAGCAGGAGTGACAAGACCAAGATATTGGCTGAAGAGAGCAGAATAATCTGGCAAACAGGAAGTGCAGAGACATGGCTTAAATAGGAATTTCATGGGAGAAGCAAGGAGTTCAAAGTCCACAAGGAACAAGGCAAAATTTTCCTAGGACATCAGAGAGAGCTGCCCAGCATCTCGCATGACACAGCAAGAAGAGTTACTGCCAGACACAGCTGAGGTCCTGGGTTCAGTCCTAGACCCTGACACTACCCCACTTACAGGACTGGAAATAAAAGCATCTAAGCATGAGTGTGACCAATTGTCTCTTGCTGCAACTTTCCCCATACCATCTAGTGGAAACAGTTCCCTTTCACCAGTTTCTAGCCTATGTGTTCTCACTGTGGCAAATACCCAACCAACATCATTTTCAATTCTTTTCTTAAGTTTTCATAGTTTTATATTTATTTTATGATTCCATTAATTTATAGTTTTCCTTAGAATGCAGTCTGTGCCTTCCTGTAAGGAAAGTTCAGTTTGAGTGCAAGAACACCAGTGCAGGCACATGTGCATGTGCATTTTATGACGTACAAAGTTGTGCAACCAAAAACTGTGTTAAATCAGTTTTTTTCAGGCTCAGTTTAGCTTTAAGATATATCCCTGGCACTGTGAGGGGGAGGGGGGGGGGGGGGGGGTCATGCTCAAGCACACAACTGAGAGGACAATGTTAACCTAATAATACACATATATACAGTAAAATGTAAATATATCCCTACCCTGGGCACGGATTGTAGATTTTTTTCACTGATTACAACTTATTTCAGATTTCCATTTACCGTTCTATTATTAAATGTATTTATAATCTCTGCGGAAAGTGTTTTATGACAAAAAAATACAGATTTTCTATACAAATCTATTTCAATGAGATCTCTATTATCGAAATATAGAAGCATTTCAAGCTTAAAACATCATTCATTTACTTTCATTGGATGGATTTTCAATTATTGTTCCATCCTGGGAGCATTGTTGGAACGCACATTCCATATGGAAATGAAAAAATATCACAGTGTGTCTTTTCTTCCGTTCCTGAATGTAAGACCACCTCTGGAGTAACTGCAGTCAGGTGTTACAGAAAAGGGTACTTCGTCTTAGGAAGAGAAAGCCTTGCAATGGAACAGAACAGAGCCATGCTGTGCATTATCGAAGCCACAGCAAACCATGCAGTATACTATCAGAACTGAGGCAGTGGGGTAAAACCCACATTTCTTGGGCTATAAAATTGTTTTTAAAACAATTTAAGTTATAATAGTATTGGGTCAGTTATATGCTAAGTTAATATTAATTTATACATTTTGAAATGTTTATCTTGTGGCTTTTTTTCGACTTTTATACTATTTAATTGTAAACATATTAAAGTGAAACTAAACTAATCAATCAACATGAACTATTTTTAATCCTTATGCTGCTCGCATTAGTAAATAGAGAGGAAGGTATTTTATATTTACTTGGTTTTCATTTTTTTTTGTACATTTCTTCATTTACTTCCTGGTCTCTGGCCTAGGCCATAATTATGTCATACATCCCAAAAGTCTTCATGGACATTTTTTTGTCTTTCATCCAGAGGATGGGAGGATAGGTTTTCTGAGCTAAGCACACCCTCCTACCTGTGTGCATGAGCTAAGGGCAGATGAATTCCAGGAAGCAAATGCTACATGAATCATTAGCCTTTACTTAAGTTAAGCTAGAAATGCTAGGAGCAGGGGCGGACTGACAACTCATGGGGCCCCCGGGCAATAGGGGATCATGGGGCCCCTGTGTTCTTGCCCAAACTCAAAAAAGCCTATGAAAAAGTACCAGGGGCATCTCATGGGGCACCCTACTGACCCTGGGCCCTCGGGCAGTGCCCGAGTTTTCAAATGGTCAGTCCACCCCTGGCTAGGAGGGTGGGGTTCAAAGTGATTGCTGAACAAAATAAAGCATGGAGACATGGATAGATATGTGAATTTTCTTTGAGTATTAAAAATGAATTACATATAGTTTGTTGTGCTCAGATACAGTTAAATTCTGCTTTAAGTTCACCGTTCTACCATTGCTAGCCTTCTTCTGAAAATGCTAATTGCATGGCTCTGTACATCTTTGGATGGGAGCGGTGATATCAGGACTATGGCTGCAGACATTTGCAGATCTTTGCTGGCTATCCTTTTACAGTGATAGTGTCACTTTAAATGGCATCCCCCATCCCCTCTTTCCTGGCCAGCCAGGCTGCATATTTGGATTAAAGATCTCCTAAGGATTGCAAAGAGATCTCATCCCCCCCCCACACCATTGGGGGGCTGAATACAAATGCAAGGCACATTTTTATTTGTAAAAAATTTTGAAAACTGTTTATAATTTTCCTTCCATTTCACAATTATGTGCCACTTTGTGTTGGTCTATCACATAAAATCCCCATAAAATACATTTACGTTTTTGGTTGTAAAGTGACAAAATGTGGAAAATTTCAAGGTTTATGAATACTTTTTCAAGGCACTGTTAAATTAAACTGTTTGGGGTACAGAAGATTTAGTTCCAATCTGAAAAACTGAAATGGTTCAAGGGTAAATTTTATTGCAAGCTCCTGTACTGGAGCAAAACTGTAATTAGGAAGAAGCCCCCCAGCAAGGAGAGCACTCATAAAATGTGATTAAATAACGTTCTTCTAACCCTTTGCTAAAGTTTTGTGAGTTTTGTGTTAGAGAAACATCTCGAAGAATAGTTCTGCAGCCAGAGTTTGTTCAGAGTTGGTTACACAGCGTGAAACTAGAAATGTTACTGAGAAGAAATGTGAATTTGTATTTGCTGATAATGCCCTTCTTGGAAATATTATCACCCTAGACATAGCTAGAGGTTACGTGATGTCCACTCTTACACACTTGTTGCCCTCTTAAAGCACACTGTATATATATATATATATACTTACCGGCCACTTTATTAGGTACACCTGTTCAATTGCTTGATAACACAAATTGCTAATCAGCCAATCACATGGCAGAAACTCAATGCATTTAGGCATCTAGACGTAGTGAAGACAACTTGCTGAAGTTCAAACCGAGCATGAGAATTGGGAAGAAAGGAGATATAGGTGATTTTAAACATGGCATGGTTGTTGGTGCCAGACGGGCTGATCTGAGTATTTCAAAACTGCTGATCTACTGGGATTTTCACAACCATCTCTAGGGTTTACAGAGAATGGTCCCAAAAAGTATCCAATGAGCAGCAGTTGTGTGGATGAAAATGCCTTGTTGATGTCACAGGTCAGAAAGTCAGAAGAATATACTTAAAAAATATATATATTTTTTAAAAATATATATTTTTTTAATATATTCTTTAGATTTTTTTTAACATATGAGAAAGTAATTTTAACATATATTTTTACATATATTTGTAAATGCATTCCAAAAATGTAGATTTGTATTTTTAAGGACATATTGTATATTTGAAATGTATTTTGAAATATTTTTCATATATTTTTAAATAAAAATGCATTTCAACATGCAGTGTATATATATATATTGAAATATATTTTGAAATATATTAAATATGGCCAAAATTGTAGCAATTGAAATATATGGCAATATATTTGGGGAGAATATTTTTAAAATATATTTCAAATATATTTTTCTTCCGTGTGGGTATACTCACTGTGGAACCTAAGTACTGTTTGAGCCTGACTTCTCTGATCTTCCCCTTCTTCCATTGCCCCCTTCTTATCACCTGATAAGACATATCATGTGGAGATACTCTGCACATGCACAGTTTGGTATGTATTGCTAGAGAGAGTTTTTTTTTTCTTGGGAGAGTACATGTGATCAGCACAGGGCCAATCAGCACTGTCCGAACAGAGGTCAGGGCTTCTGCATCCTCCTAGCGCAGAAGGAAAACTCCTCCTACAAGATTTACCAGTGCTCTGCTGAACACTGATAGAAGTCACAAGACTGCTCTAACTGCTAAGAAAAGGTATTTAGACATTTATATTTACTAAAATAATTGCAATTCCATGTTGTGTGTACTGTGGAAGACCAGATATAGTGAATGCAGGGTCCTGGGAGACCAGATATAGTGAATGCAGGGTCCGGGGAGCCCAGATATAGTGAATGCAGGGTCCGGGGAGACCAGATATAGTGAATGCAGGGTCTGGGGAGACCAGATAAAGTGAATGCAGGGTCCTGGGAGACCAGATATAGTGAATGCAGGGTCCTGGGAGACCAGATATAGTGAATGCAGGGTCCTGGGTTTAGTAACACTTCTTTTTTTTAGATGCAGTTCTACTTTAAAGATGAACCCTGCGATAAGCAGCTGTTGTCTAAATAGTAGTGTCATGTGTATTCTTCCTTGAATCTTGGTGTGCTTTGTATTTCTTCTAGATCGGTGCTGTAATCCAGTGTGACACATTACCTTTGTGCAGGAGCTTCCTGTAATAAAGACCAGTCACTGCTGCTCTCTCTCCTTGTGCAGGGTGATTGGTCCTGTCCCCACCCCCTTCTTCAGTTTTCTGCAGGCAGCTCATGATAGGTGGAGCCTACTGGGCCCCTCCCATAGCTCAGGCAGCCCATAGAAGGGATGCAGATGCAGGGTTGCATTGACACAGACACATGTCAAAATTTATTATGTGTGCAGCGGTGTGAAGATCCATTATACCACCACCAGCTTGAATCGTTGATACAAGGCAGAATGGATCCATGCTTTCATGTTGTATATGCCAAATTCTAACCCTAACATCTGAATGTCGCAGCAACCAGTCTGTTCATTCTCCTCTGACCTCTGACATCAACAAGGCATTTTTGTCCACTCAACTGAAACTCACTGGATATTTTCTCTTTTTCAGACCATTCTCTGTAAACCCTAGAGATGGTTGTGCGTGAAAATCCCAGTAGATCAGCAGTTTTTGAAATTCTCAGATCAGCTCATCTGGCATCAACAACCATGACATGTTCAAAGTCAATTAAATCCCGCCATGTGCTTGGCTGATTAGCAATTTGTGTTAACACACAATTGAATGGGTTTACCCAATAAAGAGGCCGGTGAGTGTATCTTCTAGCATTTTCAAGTCATCATGCTGCCCGTACTGGAAGCTGACATGGCAGTCCCATGGTCTGGATTCAAACAAAACAACACAACCCTTTTAGACTGTATGTTCTCTCAAGCAGACGTCTCCTAACCCTCTTGTATTGGATTGAATTTTATTGTAACTGTATTGTCAAATTTATATTTTAATGTGCTGCACAAACCGTTGGCACTATATAAATCCTGTGTAATAATAATAATACTAGAAGGCTTAGATTCTCAGTTGCTTATATGTGTAACGTGTACCCCACTAGAGCTGCGACTGTTGCGCCCAGGTGGAGAACTTCAGCTTGCTTTGCAAATGAAATTTATCAAAGCATTTTAGAATTTTTGCAGATAATAAATATTTCAGTGAAAATTCAATTTTTATTTCATTCCTGAAACCAATGTTTTGCTATTTTATGACAAGTGCTAAATAGATGCTAATTCTTACTTTTCATTTGACATTTTTTCAGCTAAAATAATTTGAACGCTCTTATGTTTTAAAGACAATTCATTAACACTTTAAAAAATAAGTACCACTTAGCGGTAAATATGATGGCATTTAGTTGTCTAATGCAATAGTTGCTATTAAAAGAATGGCGGTTAATTAAAACTGCAAATACTGTTTGTCAGTTTTGACTATTAACTTTTAAATATGTCCTGTATATACAGTAGTTTAACCTTTAATAATAAATAAACCTTGCAATAAACTCACTCCCTGTTAATTTACCCTGTTACAGAAATGCATTTTGATTGACTGATTTCATTAGTAAGACCGCAACTGGAATATGCAGTTCAGTTCTGGGCACCAATTCACAAAAAGAACATTGGGGAACTGGAGAAAGTGCAGAGAAGGGAAACCAAACAGATAAGAGGCATGGAGGAGATCAGCTATGAGGAAAGATTAGAGGAACTGAATTTATTCTCTCTTGAGAAGAGGAGATTAAGGGGGGATCTGATCACCATGTATAATACATAAGGGGGATATGATCACCATGTATAATACATAAGGGGGGGTATGATCTCCATGTATAATACATAAGGGGGGATATGATAATACTCCATGTATAATACATAAGGGGGGATATGATCTCCATGTATAATACATAAGGGGGGATATGATCTCCATGTATAATAATACATAAGGGGGGATATGATCTCCATGTATCTCCATGTATAATATAAGGGGGGATATGATCTCCATGTATAATACATAAGGGGGGATATGATCATCACCATGTATAATACATAAGGGGGGATATGATCACCATGTATAATACATAAGGGGGGGATATGATCACCATGTATAATACATAAGGGGGATATGATCACCATGTATAATACATAAGGGGGATATGATCACCATGTATAATACATAAGGGGGGGATATGATCATAAGGGGGGTATGATCCACTGTATAATACATTAAGGGGGGATAATGATCCATGTATAATACATAAGGGGGGGATATGATCTCCCATGTATAATACATAAGGGGTGGATATGATCAACATGTATAATACATAAGGGGGGATATGATCTCCATGTATAAATACATAAGGGGGGATATGATCTCCATGTATAATACATAAGGGGGGGATATGATCTCCATGTATAATACATAAGGGGGATATGATCTCCATGTATAATACATAAGGGGGGATATCATCACCATGTATAATACATAAGGGGGATATGACCTCCATGTTTAATAGATAAGGGGGGGGGTATGATCTCCATGTATAATACATAAGGGGGGATATGATCTCCATGTATAATACATAAGGGGGATATGATCTCCATGTATAATACATAAGGGGGGATATGATCTCCATGTATAATACAAAAGGGGGGATATGATCACCATGTATAATACATAAGGAGGGATATGATCTCCATGTATAATACATAAGGGGGGGTTATGATCTCCATGTGTAATACATAAGGGGGATATGATCACCATGTATAATACATAAGGGGGATATGATCACCATGTATAATACATAAGGGGGGATATGATATCCATGTGTAATACATAAGTAGGGATATGATCTCCATGTATAATACATAAGGGGGATATGATCACCATGTGTAATACATAAGGGGGGATATGATCTCCATGTAAGGGGGATATATCATACATAAGGGGGATATGATCTCCATGTATAATACATAAGGGGGGGATATGATCACCATGTATAATACATAAGGGGGGATATGATCACCATGTATAATACATAAGGGGGATATGATCTCCATGTATAATACATAAGGGGGGATATGATCACCATGTATACATACATAAGGGGGGGGGATAAGATCAACATATATAAATACATCAGTGGTTTATATAGTGAACTTGGTGTAGAAAAAGTTAGTTGAGTTACTTGTGAGCCATTAGGATAATATGCCAGATAGTATTATAAAAGCTAGCAGGCTCCTGATCACATCCTCATGTGTGTGGTAAATGGTGCCGTGCTTTTTAAGGAAAATAATTGTGAGTCTTTGACAATCGTAATATAACTCTGAATTAAAATACAATAGGCAAAAATATATTTAAAAATTAAAATAAATCATACAATAATACTGGAGAATATTTTGATGATGAGAAGTGTCCAGAAGTTGAGTGTCCAAAAATTAAATAATATATAATCAATATAAATGTGAAACACATAAATGTGAAATGTCCGAATAAGTGTACAAGTAATATAAGTGTAATAAACTTTTCTATGGTGTTGTTATTATTAAGCGCTCAGCTCCTTGTTAGCTTATTGCCAGGCTAACACAGCTGTGTAAAATTAGGTGTTGGTGGGATCTTTAATTTGGATGTATGGTGCTGCTGGGATCCTTTCAGGGTTCCTTTATGTGTGGCTGGATGGCTTCTGATGAGAACTGTCAGTCTCTGCCTCCTTGCACTGTTGATGGAAATGTTTCCTTCTCCCTTATTTCCTCGTTAGTATAGTGGAAGAAAGAAAAATATATAGTGCCTTAACGTTTTAAAAACCATGAATTTATTGCTCTCCTTTATGCACTCACATTCAGTTAAAATCAATTAGCATTTACTGAGTATAACCGCTCAGTCTGGATATGACCTGCTTCCTCTGAGTGTCTGCGCTCACTGCCTGTAATCACCGTGACAGAAGTTGGGTTGCCATGGTGACGTCGATGCCCCTCCCCGACGCGTTGCGCCACAGGGTCACGTGGCTTCTTCCGGGGGATGTAAAACGTTAAGGCACTATATATATTTTTCTTTCTTCCATTGGTATAAATGGGGACTCTGATGAGGACTCCTTATGTAAAGAGGGACTCTAATAGGGCCATCTGATATAAGGGGGCACAGGTTCTTTTTAATCACCCTAATCTAATACAGCCTAATACATACTAGTGTTTCCCAAGTAGTGACACTGTGTGAAAGACTGTCAGTGACTCACACAATGTTGACTTTATGCCACCTGACTTTTTTTTCTGCACGCTCAGATCAGATAGGCTAGATCCAGGCCTGGGTAAAACTGGAGTTGCAGGGAACATATTGGAAGGGGAAAGCAAAACTGGGATCAGGAACAAGGGGAGTAGGAACAAGGCAGCAGGGTTCAGGGTACAGGTACAAGGCAGAAAGCATGATCAAAGATCAGGAACAGAGTAATGGCTAGCAGTATTTAGCAACAAACACTGGAGCAAGAGGCACTAATAGTGGAAGATCTAAATACCCTCCCAGCAGCCAGCATCAGGTGAAAACTAATGATCTGGGATCTGCTGGCTGCTGGGAGACACCTGCTGGTGGACACCTGAACTACAAGCTTCCACTCTGGGAAGCACATTGCCACCAGCAGGTGATCCAGGTCCTGACACGTGTACTTTATCATGAAAAATATATCTGGTACTAGCTGCACTTTAAGCTCTGTGAAAACAACTTCTCTCTCCCTTATTTTCCAGAAA